CACACACACACACACACACCTCATTTCTGGTCAACATCAAGAACTGCTAACTAACCGCCACCACCACCAACTCCTGTGGCGGCCATTTGGCAGCGATAAATACTAAAACAAAAGAAAGAAATGAGAAAATAACATAAAACTTACTCGGCCATTTCGAGCACCTTCTCCGGCGAGATCGGCTCTCGGTACACCTTCTCCTCGATGTTGATCTTCTTCACCGTACAGTAGGCGGTGGAGACGTGGACAAAGGCCTGGAGAAAATGGAGGGGAAAAGTAGAGGATGAAAAACGTGTGTGTGTGTTAGTTGGCGATAAAGGAGGCAATAAATAGAATGGCGGTGGTAAGAAGTAGAAGGCAGGCAGGCAGGTAGAGGAAGAAAAAAGACAATAGACATCAATAATGCATTGTACGTCACAAGTTAATTAGGAGAAGGGAGAAAGAGAGTGGGGATTAATGNGTTGGCGATAAAGGAGGCAATAAATAGAATGGCGGTGGTAAGAAGTAGAAATCAGGCAGGTAAAAGAAGAAGAAAAGACAATAGACATCAATAATGCATTGTACGTCACAAGTTAATTAGGAGAAGGGAGAAAGAGAGTGGGGATTAATGGCAGAAAATGGACAGCAGCAGCAAAATGGCCCAAATTAAATTGGGAATTCGGATTAGTTGAGAGCGAAAAATAGCAAAAAAAGTTAAGTAAGATAAAGAGGAGGAAACAAAAGTGAAAGAAGGTGCGGTTGGTCAGTAAAAAGAGAAAAAAATCAGCAAAGAACTAAAGACAAAAACAGCAGATTTTTTCTAGACAGAAAAAAACTTAGTTCTTACCGCCAAACTCTTGAGCTTCTTCGCCAGTTCGAGGACACGTTTGGTGCCCATGGTGTTCAGCTTCAGAGCGTACCTGCAAAGCAAAACAAACAAAAGGAAAAAAAGGTAACCAAAAGTAGAAAAACCAAAGCTCTCTTATCACCAAAAAAAGTACTCACTTGAGCGGCTCATCAAAGCGAATGGTGGCGGCGGAGTGGAAGATGACGCTGGCGCTGGCCGTCACCGCCTGCAGATCCAGCGGGTTGATGCCCAGCCCGGGCAGGGCAATGTCGCCCACCACGGGGACTACTTTGGCGAATTGGGCAGGACAAGCAGAACGAACGCGGTCAAAAGCCGTACTAGATAGGAGCTCCTCTCGGCGCTGTCGAATCAGCTGACCCGTCTTGGGGCGCATCAGCACGAAAAGTGTTCCAATATCCGGAAAACTGTAGAGCAGCTTCTCGATGAGCACCTTCCCCACGAAGCCGGTGCCGCCGGTGATGAAGACGGAGCGACCGCGGTAAAAGTCCTGCAGGAGCGGAGGCGTCGGTGAGGAGTTCATGATGTTTTGGTGGTGATCAAGGTGGTGATTTCCGCCGGAAAAGGATGATGAGGAAGATGAGGAGGCGGAGGTAAAGTGAGGCGGCGAGTGATGAGGTGAGCAGTAGCCGAGGGAGGAGGAGGAGGAGGATGAGCTCGGAGATGAAAGCAGCGAGGAGGAGCAGGAATGGGCCGAGGCGGAAGAGTAGGAGGAGGAGGCGGAGGACTTTCGCTGGTGACCACCTCCACTGATGACTTCGACGTTCTGGTCCTGGTGGTCCTGGTGGTGATCAACCTTGACCGTTAGAGGAGAGCTGGTGGTGGTCGAGGATTTCACTATGGAGAGATGATGATGATGATGATCTGGCTGCTGTTGATTGTTTTGGTGGTGATCGCCGCCCTCAGCTCCGAGGGCGCTGTCAGCCGCAGCAGCAGCAGCAGCAGCCGACAGCTCACCACTTTCAAGTGCCATCTTCAGTTGCTTGTCGT